TGGCTGTTAGAAATTGTGCTGCTATAAACATGATGCACATATTTCACTGTGGTATGACATCTTTAATTCTTCTGGGAAGATATTCAGCAGGGGAGCTGGGTCAATTAGAACCTCTAATACTAGTTTTTTGAGAAATCTGCACACTGGTTTCCACAGTGGCTACACCAGTCTACACTCCCACCAACAGTGGAGAAGGCTTCCTTTTTCCCCCACGACTCCACTAGCATTTGTTATTGGTTGAATTCTTGGTGATAGTCACTATTTCCAAGGTGAGATGGAATCTCAGTGTTGTTTTAATTTGTATCTCTCAAATGACCAGTGATATGGAACATTTTTTCATATATTTATTTACCATTTGTATTTCTCCATCTGAGAAGTGTGTGTTCATCTTAGATGCCCATCTTTGGGTTGGCTCTTTAAGTTTAGGAAGATTTTTTTTAGTTCTTTATATGTTCTTGATAGCAATCCCTTGTCAGAGTGACAGTGGGCAAACATTTTTTCCCACCTGTGGATTGTCTCTCTAGTCTGTTGGTTCCTCTTGCCAAGCAGATTTTTTGTTTTAATTTCAAAGAAGTGAGAAACAGATGAGGAGATGTTCTTCAGCTGGAATGGGCCAGGTCCCTCTTTCCTCTGGTTGCTCCCCAGGTAGGGGGCAGAATGTGCCAGGGAGGGAGGTGGTGAGGGGCCTGCAGGAAGCGTGGGGTTTCCACACGGGCCACCACCGGGGTCCTCCAGCGGTCAGCTGTGGGCTGGGCAAACGGGAGAAGGGCGGAGCCAAGAGTCTTGATTCCCTCTCTCCTTCCCTGAATCCTAGGGACAATCTGGGATGTGATGTGACTTCCCCTCTTAATCTAAGAAGAGAGAAAGAGGTGCTGATGGAGGGACAAGAGCAGAGATCATGGTGTCCATCTTCTTGGGGGACCTGCAGGGTAGACCCTGCTCCTCCCAGGGTCTTCTCCCATTGACTTGCTTGATTGTGGGGTTCCTGGCTGGCCCGTCTGAAACCTGCGCCTCTCAGTTCCTCTGCACCTGCTCCTCTGCCTGACCTCGTTCTCCCTCGCGATGCCAGGATTTCTGTCCTTTAGGACGAGTCACCAGCAGCTCAGCACACGTGGACACAGGCACACACCAGAGACCAAGGGCTTTCCTCGTCACTAACTGGGGACAGTAGTTCTGCCTCACTGGGTTTGGGGAGCACTAAACAATCTAAAGCCTGGTACGCGAAAGGCTTGGTCAGAACTAGGCCCCGCCCGGCCCCCTCCAGCAGCCCTCTTCTCATCTCCTACACTGGAGCGCACTTTCTTTCCTTCCCTTCTTCTTCCCTTCCCACCCCTTATCCCAGCTTGCTGCAATTTTCCTCCAAGAAAGGGGAAGACCTGTGTGAGTTCTTCAGTTCCATTTCATTGTAAGAGATGTGTTAGCATTTAAAAGGCAGCTCCACAGCTTTCTTTTGCAGGTGCGATTATAAACTTTAACCACCACGGCCCTCTTCACAGGCTGCTTACCAACCCCTGGGTCTTACTGTGCTGTATTTTGCAGGCTGGGGTCTCACAGGTGACACGGATGGACCACGCGGACATTTAAAGTCTCGATGGCCCTGCCAAGCTGCTCTCCCAAAAGGCCATGCCGAGTCCATTCTCCACCCATGACGCGTGGTTCCCTGCCCCGCTGGAGGCTGCTAGAGCCCCGCCCCTTCACCAGCACTCTGTGTGGTTCCTGTAATTCTGAGAATAGCTGGGGGTGGGTAGCTGCCTTCTGCCCCACAGTCTGTCACCAGCAGGTGGTGTCCCTCCCTTGAGCAGGACACTCAGGGACCTAGGAGGCCACCAAGTCCAGGGAAATGCCTGCTTCCTGACCCACAGGGCCCCTGGGGGTTCTCTGCTGTCCTCACAGCCAGACTTAATCTCTTTACCCTACAGCGTTGAGTTCCAGGGCAGCTTCAATCACAGAGGCACCATAGGATCCCCTATCTCTCTGGGCCTCTGTTTTCTTCACTGTCAAAATGAACATCACTCCCCAGCCTAAGGTGGAGCACTGAACATGAAAGAAGGCCAGGCAGTGCCTACCACCCAAGAGTGTTCTGTTTCACAAAGTGTTGTCTCACTGATGCTCTCGCTACTCCCATTTTACAGATGGGGAAAAGAAGTTGAGAGGTTACACGAACTGCCCAACTGCACCCCCCCCTGCAAGACAGGACTTGGTTGGCAAATCTTGTGTGCTTTCAACTTGATCTTACTGGAAGATTCTTGTATGGACATCTAAAAATTTTAGAACTATATTGAAATAGCAAAGTAGTATTAATAAGGCATGTCAGAGAGCTGGCCTTTGATCTGGTACTTAGGTCATTGCTTGAACTCTGGTTTTCTCATGTAATGTAATAGCAAGTAACTTTTACTGAGAGCTTATGATACAGTGAACATTGAGCTCCATGGGTTATTTCATTTTTCCGTATGACACTCCTATGAGGTTCCTAGTGATCCTCATTTCTCAGACCAAAGAACAGAGACTAGCAGCAGGAATGTAGATCGGGAGGAACCAGCACAGCCTGAAACACGCCTGGAGCCTTCAGAAAAGACTTTGGGTCTGAACACATGGACACAGAAAACTGATGGGGTACTTAAGGTTGAATTATAGTAGGTAGTTACTTTAAATAAAACGAAACAAGTAAACAAAACATGGCAGTCATTAACTTCAAGAAAAATAGAAAGATACAGCAAGTTAAAAGATGAATTGTAAATGGAATTTAAGTGGCCATAATAAACACTGATTATGGGGCAAGGGATTTAGCTCAGCCTGGCAAGTGCAAGGTCCTGAGTTTGATCCCCAGTACCAAAAACAAAACAAAAGTACTGATTCTTGGGGTTGGGGATTTAGCTCAGCGGCATAAGCACCTGCCTTGCAAGCAGGCAGCCGTGAGTTCAATCCCCGGTACCGATAAAAAGGAAAAAGACAAAAAAAAAAAAGAAAGTACTGATTCTCATATAAGCAATATCAGGAAGTGACTAAGTTGAAAGGCAGGGAAGGGCACAGTAAACATCTATAAAGGAGAAGGAGAGGATGAAAGCTGCAATACAGTGTATCGTTTAGAGATAGGCAGGTCAGAGCCAAAGAAACAGGTCAAAAGGGACAATGGCTGGAGGGGGAGCAACACAGGGCAAATGTGCTGTGTAAGAAATCTGGCAGAATGATTGGACTTGCATTCAACTGTGTATTGTATAGTTTTGATGATATTTTTTAAAAAGAAACAAACGACAAATAAATTGTCCAAGTTCACCAGAACTGATACAGGGGAGGTGAGACTTGAACTCCTCCTCTAAAGCCCAGGCCGTGCCATGATGCCACGCCACGGACAGAATCCAGCCGCCTATCAGTGCTCCGGAGAGCAAAGGTGCAGTAACATGGGAGATCAGCTGCTGGCACTCAGCGGGTGCTCGGGAAAGGGAACTGGCTTCTTTATTCCATGGAGCCAACCACAGCTGGCTTTCAAAGAAGGATAAGGAAGAGCCCTGCCCTGGGCCCAGACCTGAGTGCCCCATGCTTTAGAGTCTTGCCATAAGTCTTCTAAATTCGTCTTCAACGTCCAGGACTCCCCAGGCTAGGAGTGGCATCTGGACAGGGCTCCCAGTTCCCAAATCCTACCTTCGGGAGAGTTTTTACCTCTCAGCATTCCCACCCCGGGGTGGGGCTGAGCAGACACCTTGCAAAGCTGCATGCTGCTTCCAAATCAGAGCAAAGGCCAGCAAAAGGGTGTTGAGACACTGGTTTCTAGGGACTCACTGTTGTGTAGGCAGGGCCCCTGCGAGAAACATCTGCCCAGAGTCCCCAAGAGCCAGGAGCAGTTTTGCTTTCAGGTTCTGCCAGGTCATCGTCCTCTCTTTCCATCACACAGGCACTGCCCAAAGGTGGCGGCTACAGGTTTGAAAGCACCTAGCTGCAGCCGAGTATTGGTCAGTCCCCTGGGTGATTCCCTCTATCCTCAGTAGACCAGTCAGCTGGCAGGAAGTACTTACTGAGCAGCTGTGATAGGCTGAGACAGGATAACACAGAGATCAAGGAGCAGCCCTGTCCTCCAGGTGATGGGCTGGAGGGGGAGACAGAGGCTGGAAAGTGGTTCAGGTCAGCAGGTGCCAGGGTGGGGGCTGAGTGAGCACAGCTGTGGGTGCTCAGCGTGGCCTTGAATGTGGCTCACAGGGTATTGCAGAGCGGCAGTAGTTTGGTTGGAGAGCTGCTCTAGATGCTTCTCAGTTTTGGAATTTTCCAAGATTAAAATTCTGTGATTCTCCAACTGGGATCTTTCCTTGGTTTCAGGTGAGAACTTGGAGGCCAGGTCTTGATCCAGGGATTGTTTTCATATCAAAGCTAGAAGGGACTTGTGGCAACCAGGAAGTCAACTTTTCTCCCTTGTCTTGAGGCCTTGAGGAAACTGAAGGGTCCTGCTCATGTCACCTAATTACAGTGGTAGGACTAACATTTGGATCTCTGATCGCCATCCTAACTCAAGTCTGGGAGAGGGGCCTGAGTCCTCCTAGGCAAACACAACCTCTTCCTTTAAAAAAAGTCTCCAGCCCCAGTAGCAGTCATCACAACCTTGCTCACAACAAGCAAGGATCTAACTACTCTTCAGTCAACAAACGTTCCTGGAGAGCGCACCCTAAGCAAGTGATGGCCCAAGCCCTGGGAAGACAAGCTGTCCCACCAATTAGTGTCCCCAGGTGAAGGGGTACAGGCGCGACACATATATGGCACTTCTGAGGCTTTGGCGATTTTCTCCAGTGTGCTCGGCAAGTCGCCGGCGTTCAGCAAAAACACTGGGCGCTAATTACTATCTTAGTTGGGCTGGGAAGGGAAAGCCGCGCTCCCCCGGCACCCCCAGATCTCCCCTTCCGCTCGCCGGGAGGGGCGTGGCGGCGCCCGAGCATCCTCGGCTCCTCTTCGGCGGGTCCCGCAGGCCTACGCCGGGCGCGCCCAGGGAGGGGCGCGGGGGCGCGCACGCAGGCTGCCGGGGCCGCGCCGGCCGCCGGGGACGCGCACGGGCTAGTCTCTGCCCTAATGCGGTGGCTGGCGGCGAGAGGCGCTGCAGGGGCCTCGGGAGAAGTGGTGGCGCCGGCAGCGGATACCACGGACTGCGCCCGGGGCCGGAGCCCGAGCCCTCGGAGGTAGGCGAGCGCGGACGCCCGAGAGACCAGGCGGGGGTCGAGCGGGGGTTATGGAAGCCCGTCTAGCCCCTGGTTCCCGCCTCCTGCGTCGGTCTCCATCCTCCGACCTGTCCCCTCCCCCTCGGGCCACCTCCCTGCGCCTTCTCGTCTGCACCGCTGTCACCTGCCCTGGACCCGTCCTACTCTGGCGTCGTCTTCAGTCCACTCCGTGCAGCCCCCTCCTTTCCCTACCCTACACCCTTTCTCACTAGGTGCCTGCATCCCCTCCCGTTCCTGCATCCTTATCCTCTTGCCCCTTTCCTCTGTCCCCACCTCCGTCATCCAGGGGCCCTGCTGGCCCTTATGCCCCTATTTCTCACAGCACCCCACTGGTCATTTCCCTACTCGGCCTGTTTTTCCTACCTGACAACAACCTCTCTCCTGCCTCCTCCACCCCTTGCCCCATGCCTCTGTCGAGAGCTCCCTTGCTGTTCAGCCCTCCTTCAGGTTCCCCTTCAAGCCCTGTACAACCCCTTGCCGGCTGGCTGGACTCCTCAGCACCATAATCCTGCCCAAGCACCCCACCTGCTCCCCTTGGCTTCCAACTGGCCCGCCACCCATTACCCTCTCCACTCGACCTTCTAGGGCTGCCAGGTGGCTTGTCCTTAGCTCCTTCGCAGGCCCTTGGTCCTTCTTCCAGGGCGTGTAGGCCTCTGCATGCTGGATGGACTCTCTGTTGTGGACTCAATCCACTTATAGCCCTTTTCTGCACCTTTGATCCTGGTCAGGGCCTGGAGAAGGGTGCTGAGGGTCAGTAGGCTTCTGCATTCCAAGCCAGCCTCCCCTCCCCTCAGCTATTCAGGTTTGTTTCCTAGATGGCCTCTGAGGATGCTAAGCATAAGGATGGGGAAGGGCAGATTCCCAGGGTGGCTCAGTAGCTCACCCTGAGTCGAGTGTAGTGGTGAGAGCCTCACCAGACAGCTGGAGAACTGGGGACTTTGGAAAGGACTTTTCCTCAGCCTGCAAGTCAGCACTTTGACATCAGGCTCTATCTTGAGTGGGCAGAGTGCTGAATCACTTAGACTCTGGTCCCCACAGCAGCCCCTGGCTTGCTCCGAGCCAGGGCCTGCTTCTGGTTCCTTCCTTGGCTCCTGGCAAGGGCTGTGTGTACGTGTGCATGTGTATCTGTGCATGTATGTGTGTGCGTGTACATGTGTTTGCGCATGTGTGCATGTGTGTGTGTGTGTGTGTGTGTGTGCTGAATGGAGATGCCTCCTCCCTTGGTCCGGAGGAGTGGACGACAATGCCCCCTTTCTGTCTGTCTCTCCTGGCATGAGGGCCTAGAGCAACTCATTTACCCATGGAAATGTAGTGCACCCGGCTGGGTCCGATCTTATCTCCAGCAAGGCAAGGGCAGGCCACATAAAACTTTAAGCAGAAGCCGAAGCCCAAGGAACATGTGTGGGAGCACAGAAGCCCATCAGTATCCAGGCCGTGTCAGCTGTGAAAGTGGGCTATGGGGAGAGGAAGGGAGGTGAAGGCTGAGGAGGAAGGGCCTGAGAGAAATCACACTGCAGGGAGAGTTCAAATGAATGGTCTGCTCTGCACAGAATATGTTCTCCCTTTGTCTTGACTGAGTAGCCACTTTGGAGGGAATTATTTCTCCCCCTGGTCTTTGAGTTCACCTGAAGGTGTGTGTGTGTGTGTGTGTGTGTGTGTGTGTGTACAGAAACACAGAGAACACAAATGAGGAAAGACAGTCACATGTAGCTCCAGAAATTGTTTGTCACCATGAGACAGGCAATGACAGTCCCGTTCCTGCCCTGAGGACCTTGGCTGAGGCCCAGATGCTTGAGTTGGGAGGTTGAGAGCAACGGCACAGACCCTGCCCCTTTTCTGGGAAGCTTCCTCCCTTTGGAAATCTGAATGGTGATGTATGATACCTCAGTATGCACCAAAGGCTGTGCCTGGCCAGGGGAGTGTGTTCCAGCAACTGGCTGACCCCTGCTGGTACCTGTGCCCTCCTCATCCTCGGTAGGGGTGGGGCGGAAGCTTCCCCTGGCATCCATGTCTCTGGGCTGCCAGCTTTTCCTGGTACAGGGAGGCGGCATCACCTGCAGCTGTTGTCTCGAGCTGATTGGGTGAAGGCTCTGACGTTGAATCACTTGATTGGGGCTTGGGTAAAGTGGGGGATTCTGATAACAGCATACCTATTTCCCAGTTCTGTGCAATGCATCTCACTCTTTTTTCCTTTTTTGACGTCACAAAGGCTAAACCAAGGTACACAGAGAAAAGAGCCAGCTCCCCAGGGAACTGGGCAAGACCTGGCGATTATGCTTCACTGGCTCTCTGTGGGCTGAGAGATGTGCCTACGATGGCTGGTCCTTTTCACACTGTGGAGGTGGCTGGAGGTGAAGCTTTGGCTTTGGATTCTGAGAGGACCTAACCAGAGCAAGATCTTATTTCTGTAGTGACTGAGGGATAGGATTCCAAGCTTCTGATCATGCTGTTGCAACTAGTTACCCACCTCTGGCAGACATTTAAGGCTGGATGTAGACAGTTTCTTGATTTCACAAAAACTCATTAGGCTTTGTGTGCTCTTCTGTTAAGTACTAAGAGGAAAAGTAAAACAAAATGAGAGCCTTCAGCACTCCTAGTGTGATGGAAAGGGAGACAGGTCATCACATAAAGAGCAGGTGAGCTTGAGTGAGAGTTGGGGCGGGGGAGCCTGGACAGCTGGATGGTGTTGGCTCCTCTCACCTACAGCTAGGAAGATGGTTTGGTTGGTGCATCCAGAAAGGAACGATAGCTCCAATAGCTCCGGGCTGACCCTGAAGATGGCCATCAGGAAGAGGGTGGAACAGGAGGTGAGATTCATGGTGTTTCAGATTACCAGCTTGAAGAGACAAGAAGGGACTGTTCTGTGGGTATTTAAACAAGCCCTCCTCCCAAACTGCTGCAGCCCAAGTGGGGAAACCCTGTAGGGAACTATGGGATGAGATCAAGGCCACTTAACTCTCCCAACTGTTTCTCTTAAGCACTTGTGTTTTAAGGGCAAAATGTGAAAATGCTTAGAATGTCAGAACAAGTCAGAGGAAAGAGGCCTGTCTTCCCTTAGAGAGCTCTCAACTGCCAAGGGAATAGCACGTGCATGCAAGAATGTCATGCTCAGAAGCAAATACTGTGAACTCCAGCATATGGGAAAGAGTCTTGGGGTTATGAAGAGGCATTGAGGAAGTCCAAGCAGGGGAGGGGAGACTGGAGCAGAAGACACACTGAGAAGTTAAACATTCAAGCACAGGTCACTTGGAACACCCACTGTCGAACCAGGAGAAGAACCCAAAGGGAAGACTCCCAGCCTCATGCTCCACATGTTCCATTTAGTCCTTTTCATTACTGTGTCCCCAGCCTTTGAGCCTATGTCAGGAATTGTGCTGGGGACTGGGCATATAAATTGAGCCGGGGAGAACAATCTGAAAAATAGTAAGCACAAGAAGTACTTTAAAAGAGGCTAGATGGGTTCGTAGCATAAGTGAAGAGTGGCAGAGGGATCACAGGGGGCAGAGGAGCTGGAGTGGTCCCCAAGCTGTTTGGCTGGCCCTCTGCCTTGGCTGGGGCAACTTGATCCAGGCCTTTGAGTATTGACTCAGAGGGAGCAGTGAGGGCTCAGGCCTGGAGGCAGGGCTGGATGTTGGACGCCTATGGGCTTGGTCTCTGGGACTGCAGGGGGACATCTGTTGAAGGTAATGGCTGTGCCGGGTGCTTGGGTAGGCACTTCTGCAGTTTTGCTGACCCAGGGCATTGGTCAGATTGTCCAACGAGCCTGAGATCTCTGGAGCCACCCTTCTTCAAGCAAGGGAAATAGAAGTGGCACCATACTGATAGTCATCATTGTTGAGTGCTCACTATGTGCTAGGTGTCCCACTATGTGATTTCAATACATCATCTCAAATAATCATCATAAACATTAACTCTGTGAAAGAGATACTGTTAGGGTTCTGGTTTTACAGGTAATAAAACAGATTGTGAAAGATTGCTTCTTGTCTAAGATCACAAACCAGGTGAGTTGCTCACCTGGAATTTAAACTGATATTTGACTACAGAACCCACCGTCTCTGCAAGTGCACAACCTGGAAGCCATGTCTTTAGGATTAATTTCTTGTCCACTCCTTCCTCTCCCAAATGCAATCCCCTGGAGTGTTTGGGCCACAGTGGGTTCACTATCTCAGGCTTCCTTATCCCCTTCAGCTCCTGCAGCTCCTCTCCTCCAGGAAGCAGCTGCTGGGAGCATCTGCCCTTTCTCCTTCACCTGCTCCTCCTCACTCTTCCCCTTCTGGGCTGGCCCCCTCCTGCAAGGCCTCTCTGGCAGACCCCTTCCTGTCATTATGATGCTAATCGTGGTGTTAATTTTTCTGAGATCCAGAAAGAAAGCCCCAATCTGTTCTAATGAATTTAATTAGAGACTGGCTTGGAGGGCTTCAGAACCTCTTACCAGGATCACAATAAACAGAGTTAATGAGATAAACAGCCCAGGATCAGCTTCTTAGGGCTTGAGAGGGAGGATGGCTGTCTCAGTCCACCATGAGAAGTCCTGAGCACGCAGAGTTGGAAGAAGATTGTTCTCTTTCAAGTGGGCTCCCTTTTGGTGTTTTTTTTTTTTTTTTTGGTACCGGAGATTGAACTCATGACCAACAGGAAGCTTGCCAGGCAGGTACCTAAGCCACTGAGCTAAATCCCCAGCTCTTTTGGTGTGTTTTTCTGCATGCCACATACTGAACTTGGTGCACAGTTCTGTTCTTACTTCGCAGTTAAACTTTCTGGAAGTTCTAATCATCCTCATCATCGGCACTGCACATTTATGGAGCACCTGCTGTTTGGGTCAGGGATATCATATCATCTTCTGGAGCATTGCGGAGATTTATGTGACCTTGTTTCTGCCCTACAGATGCTAAAAGATATGCGTTCAAATATGAGGGATACTTGCTAATTCCAGACAGTGTCAGAAGATGGACAGTAAATTT